AGCCATCAAACTCAATCCCAGTCTTTCCTTTGTAGTATGGAACCATTGTAAGGGAGGTAACTCTAATGCAAAAAAAAACCAAACAAAGAATAATCAATTCGGAGTATAAAAATTTATTACCACTGAAACCCTTTGATATACACTATTATAATATTATATGTATTTAAATCACAGTATTTGATGTTTCTAGAAACAGCTAAAAAATATTTCATACTAGAACTAGCAAACAAATAGCAAAAAGTACCAACATAAAGAAACAAAGCTAAAGTAATTGTCCATTAACATGGAAACCCTTGTTTTTCCCCCTTTTTTGCCCCTTATTCCTTAACCGTTTGAGCCATAACCCCCCAAAGCCAATTCTTACCATCCCTTTGTGGTATGGAAACTTGTGGTATAATTAATAGAGATCCATTCACTTAAACTAAAGTTAGAGTGCGAAAACCAATGTGTCTTCAGACGACGACGACAACAACAACGTCATACCAATATACGACCGCAAAAATTTTGCGGTCGTACAAAAATAAGAAGATATGGTATGATTGCGAATAAGATAAATTTCCACCAGACACCAAATGATGGACAATCCATATAACTCTCCTTTCATCAAATGCCATTTATCAAAAATATTATCCTACTAAATTGAATGACTTAAGTAAAACATTTTTCAGAGAAATTTTCAAAAAAGCCAAAAACCAAAGTTTTTTCTGGTGTAGTTAATTACCGGGATATTCTAAAGTAAAAAAGCAGCTGCACCAAGAATTCTTTCAAAATAGGTGTACACTTGTAGAGAAAGCACATAGAATCTGTGAAAAACATTCTTAAATTTCAAAATCCAAAGAATTTTTAACACAAGTGCACATGCTGATATAGTCTGAAATATGAAGGTTTTACTACAAGTATCTAAAAATGAATTGACAGCTAATCACCTCAAGACAATACAAAAATTCTTTATACATAATTCAAAAGCAGTGTAAGGGAGGTAATTCAAAGTTGTGTTTGAATTACCTCCCTTACACTGTAATTTGAACTTAAATAATTGTCTATTAACCAGGACACCCTTGTTTTTTCTCACTTTTGTGCTCCTAATTCCTAAACGGTTTGAGCCATAACCCCCCAAAGTCAATCCTAACCATCCCTTTGTGGTATGGGAACTTGTGGTACAATTTCAGAGAGATCCATACACTGTTCCACAAGTTTTTGTCTGGAAACTAGAAAAATGCTTATTTGGGCCCCTTTTTTACCCCTAATTCCTAAACCGTTGGGACCATAACCCAAAATTAATCCCAACCTTCCTTTTGTGGTTTCAAACCTTGTGTTTAAATTCCATAGATTTATATTTACTTAAACTAAAGTTATTGTCCAGAAACCAAATGTCTTCCGACGACGCTGACGCTGAAGCCAACAACGACATGATACTAATATACGACCACAAAAATTTTGCGGTTATATAAAAATGAAATGTGTGCTGTACATAACAATACATAGTGCAAATAAAAACATGGGACTTGAAATCTAATGAGTAATAGCATAGATATAATAGCCATAGATAAAGTACTCAGAATATGTCCCACTAAGCCCCATGAAGTTTCCTTTGAAATATCAAAAGCACGGCACTGCGCGTAGTGGCCTGTGATGTAGATGATATTTGCCGACATCTTCCCAATAGACTACTTATCATAATTATATTTAAATTATCGGGCACTGGTCTTATCAGCCAATAATTAATGTGCATTACCTGTCTCAAGTAAAAATATGCCAGGAGGCGGAAACAATAAGAAGCGTCTGATTGTAAAAGTTGTTTAGATTGTAATTTATCTGGAGAAAATCGGTCAACAAATGAGAAGGTTATCATGGAAATTGGACTTAACAGGTATATAAAATTAAATTGTCATAGCACTTGCATCGGTTGCACTCGGGAAATAAGACCTGTATGATTGAAAAGAGGAGACATATCATTTACTGATGGTATGCGTGGTAAGAGGTCGAACCGAGTCGAATTTTTCTATGGCGATTTAAAACTTATTAAATGTCTGCACTGTGGATTATAAAAGCTTGAGCTAGTTGCTAAAATATAGTTACATTAGAAATTTCCATGTCACTTGATTTTATTGAATGTTATTTGTTTAAATCTCAAATTAGTGATATTATTTTCATGTCAAAAATTTATTCTTACTGAGTTTCAGCTTAAATTTACAGTGGAAGAGGGTATAAAACAGAAACTCGACTTGACATAAAAAAAATAATTTGCAAATATTTTATTTGTGTATATGTTGTGTACAAGTTGTCATGTTGTACAAATTATAATTTGTACAGATTTTTTGTACAAGTTATCAGTGTTTTATGAACCACTTAACACAAATGGATGATGCAAGCACACAGTCTTTTGTTTCGTATATTTCTGTCATATTTTTACAACTACATGATACAGTCTAATACTGAGCTTTGAATCAAAACATTATAAGAACTCAAAAAGACTTTTGATGGATATGATTTTGGTATAAGGAGAAAAATAAAATTAGAATTTAAACAATTCTGGTGTCCTTATTTCCAGTTTGAGGACAAGGAGAATAGCACTAAATGTTATGTTGAAGTATATAAATTTGAATTTAAAACATTAAACTGATACATTTTAGAAGATAAACCTGTATCACCTGGTGCAAGAAGGTATGTGTCAAAAAACTTATAACTTGTACAAAAACCCTGTACAAATTATAATTTGTACAAACTTACATCTTGTACACAACATATATATATAATGTTGTTTTTAATATATCAGTAAAACATTTATCAACCACATCTTTTAATATATCTTCTTGTATATTTTGCCATGTAGTTCCTCTTATTCAAATCTTAACATCGCGTATTTCAATCTTTTTAACATTGGTGAAGAAAACTTATGTGGTAGACATACTGAAATACATTAAATAATTGGGAAATAGCATAGGCACATTTCTTCTATTATACCTTTCCGCTTCCCATTTTTCGTGCTTGTTTTGCAATTAAATAGCTGGTGGTATATTCTGATTGTCGATTTCATTTTTGAAGTAAACAATATATATATTAAGCGTTATAATTGCTATTAGAAAATTAAAATATAGGAGTTTTGTCCTGTGTCATTCATGGTTTATTTTCCCTTCCATCTTACAATTGTGTTAGAGGTATTATTCGTACCATAAGTAAGCTATATATATATATATATATATCCCTCTGCAAGTCTGCCCGTTCATTTATCAACATACTTTTTGTGTACTTTATTTATATCACTTCTTGGTTTGGTACATGTATGAACCCAGTTGTGTGTATTTTCCTTTACAGTGATTGATTACATGATTGTTGATTCACAACGTTAAGTGGCAAATATTTGATGCATATTCAGGACTAATAAGAACCTTGTAAACATCGGTCATCTTTACTTGCATTTTAAGCACGTATATAAGGCAAAAAAAAAATATATGTCTGTTTAAGGTTACATACTTTAAAAAAATAGGGTAGGTAGGTCGGTATTTCCATTTTATTTTATTTTTTCATTTTATATTTTTTGACATGATTTTGAGTCATGTGATTTCGTCTTGTCCTGGTCCGAGTTAATCATGGACCGAGTTTACCCATACTTTTAATGATTGAATTGTTTCCCTTTGTTATTGGTTGGAAAAAATGGCGGCAAAGTGTTTATTTCATCACACGAGTTGCGAACTTCCTTAAAACAGCTGTCATATTCACGATTGTGAACATTGGGATGTATCTGGCAATTGATTTATATTATAGGCAACACTAACTTCACTTTTGACACGAGTTCAGTTTATTTTTCACTTTACGACAGAAATAAAATGACTTAGGGTCGGCGCTCAAAAGTAGGGTCGGTCAGGTAGCCGTAAACATGTTAAACAGACATATATTTTTTTTGGCCTAAACATTCCAAACAAAATGCCAAGGAATTACACCTTGTATAATGAAAGGTAGATACAAAATAAAACTCATGTATCAAATAACCTATTTTTAACAAAATAGTTTTACGTTCATATCAGTAGTCTTGTAAAAATCAAAGAGATAAGGTATTAAGTGTCATTTGTACGTATGTATCTCCTTCTTTTTTCTTTCTCGCATTGCTTTATAATAAATTTCAACTTTCAGGATTTACCATGTAAATGATTAAACTGGACCCCTGTTGTGTTCACTTATTGCTGCACTAAAAACAGGTACGGCCTAAATCCCGCGGTCAGCTTTCGGTCTAAGTGATTTAATCATTTAGACGAGACTAGTACATCATGTGCTGTGTTTATTATGTATTATACCGACAGGAACTCAAGCGAGAAATTAGCACATTACTATCCCTACTGAGTTCTAAAGGAAATGAAAGATACCGACTCAGTTTGTCAAGAATATGATAACACGTTGGTGGGGCATTAATCTGCACTGCCACCACGGAGTTAATAAACAGATACTTATTTAATTTGCGGCATCGCAGTATTAACATTTGAGGTCAAGTTGTCAAAAGTTCCTGTCAATATAATTGGTCAATTTCAAAGCAAATCGTTGAATTTGTAAGACTCGTCCAATTAATGCCAAGGTGACAATGGCTCCAACCCGTTCCTTAGGTGCAGAGATTTAGATGGAATGGCGGACAAGTTTAGTGATTGATGTACCGGAAGATTACGATTACTACCGAAGAATGACATATTACTCTCCCGGTTCACAATTTATTAGATATTAATCAACGACAATTGCCAATAAAGGCTAATTAATACCAAGTGTGACATGTTTATTAGAGGGTGATAAAATTTCGGCAAATATCATCTGCTTTTGATGTGGGTTCAGTACTTTATCTATGGCTATTATATCTATGGTAATAGTATCTGAGCAGATAGTATGCAGTAGGCTAGTACTACTACTAGGGTCGGAATGTTGCCGGAAAGTCTTGATACATGTTTTACAGCACTGATGTGTGTAATTTACACCAAATAAATTGTTACGAAAAAATATTAAAATAAGTCGTCGTTTACTTCAGTATAAAACAGATTAAAAGCGGATTCAGATTCAGCACTATTCGAAGACTCTCCAGACGCCATTTTCTTCTTTGTACCTCCAATTTGAAGAGTTCATTTGTGCGTTCGAGCAATCAGCTCTGTAGTTAAACTTATGATGGATATATATACATTACATCAAGTGGGTCTCATTGGGGTCTAAGCATGACCCGGGATTGCCGATTTTTTTGTAAGCGTGACACGTGAAAGTCAAATTATTGTGCCGTGAAAACGGGAAATGAAGTCTAACGGGACACGGGAAATTACAAAAAAATGAGAACTGCTTACGCACATAGTGTTATAAGATAAGATAAGATAATAAAACTTTATTTTGATTCGGCATAAGTTAAAAGACACAACACAAGCTCTAAGGAGCTTTTGACCGAATATAAAAACATATACATAACATAAAAACAGTCTAATTTGACATATAAAACAACCTGTAATACGAAGTTAAATCTCACTTACATAGCATGCAATAAAAATTTAGCAACAAATTTAAAATGAAATAAAACATGCTAGACCAGAGCAACCATGCAAAAGCAACATAAATAATAAACACCTCAAGAATTATCTGCAAGCAGAACAGCGACATTCCAAACCGTTCCAGGACTGAACAAGACTTCTAAAATGTGAAAAACTATTTTCAGTCCTGAAATGGTTTGGAAGGCTGTTCCATAAAGTAGCGGCAGCAAATTTGAAAGATTTTTTACCGTAACGGGTTGACTTTACCTGTGGAACATCCAGAATATTTACATACCTGAAAGAATACTTAGATTTTTTGACACTCACCAAATTTTGTAAGCACACAGGAGCTATATTATGATAAGTTATAATCTTAAAAGGTTTTAGAGCCATTGTTCTAATCCGTCTGATCTGCAAGGAGGGCACCTTTAGCTTTAAGTAAGAGGTCCTCGTAGGGGCTGGTAAAATCCTCATATACAAAACGGAGTGCTCTTTCCTGCAATTTTACTGTTTTTTCACATGTAAGGTTCGAGTTTTGAATATGTATAGATGGGTTTTGTTCAAAGGTCTTTTTGCCACCAGCCAAAACTTGAAACTTGTCGGGGTTTGCTTGCATTTTATTCACCCGGAACCACTCAATAAGTATTTTTGACTCAGATTCCAAAGTTGAAATTAATAAATCAAAATCTGGAGTACAGAAAGACAGAGTATTGTCATCTGCATAGTTATATAAACTACCATTTTTAACAAAAAGAAAAATATCATTTACAAATATGTTAAACAACAATGGCCCTAGCATAGAACCCTGTGATACGCCTTTATGGATGTCAGCCCAACCACTCAGAACATTGTTGACTTTAATTTGTTGTTTACGATTAGATAAATATGACTTTAAAAGAGCAACTGCATGGGGGGATACACCATATGCTGGTATTTATCTAGCAAGATATTGTGAGGCAGGCAGTCAAAAGCCTTAGAAAGATCCATTAATACCGCTGCAATGTACTGATTTTAATCAAGAGCTTCACGCCAATCTTCTAACACTCTGAGAAGTGTGGTCTGACATCCATGTCCACGTCTAAATGCACACAAAAAAGGATTAAATATTTTATCAAAGTATTCAATTAGTTGAATTTCATATATTTTTTCAAAGATTTTAGAAAATATGGGTAAGAAACTAACTGGTCTATAGTTTGTTTTTAATAATGGGTCACTCTTTTTATGAAGGGGGGTCACTTGGGCTTCTTTAAGTTTATCAGGGAAACAGTTATTTTCAATTGACAAATTTACAAGAGTTGTCAGCTGTGGTGCAATATAAGATTTACAATTTTTTACTATTTTTGCTGGAATACCATCAGCTCCTGTAGCCTTCTTGATGTTTATTTTATTCAATATTTTATTGACATTTTCGTTAGATACTTTCTTTAATTGAAAGTCAGAAACATGCTTTCTGTTACTCAAAATTTCTTTATACTTGGGTGATTTGAGGGGTCATACACCACATCTGCTCCAATTTTGTCTGCTACTGTGGAGAAAAAAAATTATAAAAAACATTTGAAACTTCATTTGGACTATTTACAATTTTGTCATTTTCACACAATAAGATTTTTTGTTCTCCACAGTTCCCCTTTTTTGAGAAAAATGGTTTGACTGTTTTCCAAAACTCGCATGATTTTGAGCCACCAGAGCAACGTTCTAAAAAGTATACTTTTATTGATTTTCTCTTTATCTTAGTTACCAAATTTCTTTGTTTTCTAAATTTCTCCCAATTTTTGTCACTCCGGTTTTTAGTATATTGTGAATAAAGCATTTGTTTTCTATATATGGCCCCTCTCAGTTCTTTATTCATACATGGCAGTGGTTTTCTTCTTTGACACCTAGATTTGACAGGTGCATGTTTATTTAATATATTTTTAAAATCTTTTTCATAATCATCATAAATACTATTTAAATCTTTCTCAATACAGTTTTCTGAAATCTTTATTTTCTGTAAATCATTTGTAAATTGGTCAATATCAAAAGTTTTGTAACTTCTATATGTTACGTCCCTGCATTTTTGTGCAGGTAAATTCCCTTTCACAACTGTAGAAATAATATAGTGTAAGCGGGATACGGGAATCTGACAAAACAGTAAGCGGGATCCGGGATCAGAACCCCCCAATGAGACCCCCATCAAGGATTTGTATAGTATTGTCTTACTATACAATACTTGATTACATGTATATGTGTTCTGATTTTAAATGAATGTAAGAGAATAGGAATGCCCTTTACCGTCAGGCGTCAAACGGTCACTTTCGGCTACCGTTAGCGTCAAATTGGTTAAAATTTTATCGTGATTCGTCAAAAGATCCTTATCGCGATAAGTCAGATTTAATTATTAACCGTTGCCGTTATTTATGGAAAGAATTCAACGTGATTCGTCAAAATCAGTCGATTTTTTTTTATCGTCATACAGAAAGCGTACATTTATTTTATCGGCATGCACCAAAAATTACCGTAAACGTCATTTTGCAAGATTTTTTACCGTTATTCGTCATAAAGGTACCCCCCTTACAACCCTCATGTAACCCATACCTACTTATATAATACACTCAACGTTTTTTTATTTAATTACTCGCGATGTACAGTGTACCACCTTCTAATAATATTTTTTTTGTTTAATTTATGTGACACGCGTTTGTAACATATTTAAAAATGTAAAGTTTGAACTTTTAATTATGATTACAGAATCATTAATTTTAAAAGTAACTTAAGTTTTACATAGACGTTTTTTATTTTATATTTTTATTTCAAACTGGTGCATATAGGTGTCCGACCACCAATTCAAAACCCCTATATAATCTATCAAATATTTCTATTTTCACACGGCTTACCTTAAGGTGGATCATCGGTTTATATTTCCTAAGATAGAATTTTCTTATACTTTGCAAAAATGTAGATTTTATCATGCTTTTTTTTTAAATGTACAAGAAAAAGAATAGGTCACCGTGCTATTTTTCAAGCTGCAAGTCGTGCAAAATTGCACAATTTTGCATCAGTTCATGAGAAAAAAATTTGTGAATAAAAAGAAATTGGTGAAAAATTTCAAAATGAAGTACGAGAATGATTTCTTGCTACAAGTAAAAAAACATTAGCATTCCTTTCTAAAAAAAAATACTGTTAGAGTTATCTCCCTTTAAATGGCTAAGTTGAAAATTGATTCAAACAAAAACGAATATTTGGTATTTGTTAAAACAGTCTCAATGATCCATTAAATCACTTACTTTTCTTTATTTGAATAAACTTTCTTACACATTAACTGCCAATCTGTCTCAAACTTTGCAGATTTAATCATAGAACTAGATCAATTGTGTACTGCTCTTTTACAATCCAAGATGGCAGTATGAATTAATCTACCTTAAGAATAACTTCATAGAAACCAGGTATATCCTGAATTGTACATGTATCACCTTTTATATATGCTAATGTTCAACCAATGTTTAAAGTCTTGTACTGAAACACGACCGTTCGGAAGTAAACTGCTACTTAAAACAACCCCTGGTTTTCTGGAAATCTTAAATAAGTACTATGGAACACATTAATTTAATCCTCAATTTTTAAATGCAAAATCATGGACAAGTAAATTTTTGCTCAAATAGTGTAGATATATTTCTCTTTCACCAAGAGTTTCATTTCTGCAATTTGTTTGTTATTTTAAGTAAACAATACTGAACATCAAAAGAACTATTGTATGAGAAGGCCTCCGGGGCGAATTGCCGGGTGGTATGACACCTAAAGACACATAAAAATTTATCAGAAGTCTTTTGTTTTGCTTTTATTCTTAATCCATGGTCAATGTGTAGTCTATAAAATCATATCTTATCGTATTGTAACTTATATTTGCAAAATTTGAATAACACTTAATTTGAACTGACTGTAATGTATGTGAACCACCTTTGATAAGTGTTTGGTATGACGAAAAATTTTCACTTCTGTTCTCGTACTATGAACAACAAAATTATTTATTTTGTAAAAAATATTTCCATGCTCCATGTATACCTTACAACAAAATTATTTTTATTTACCTGTGTACGTTATTTTATTTGGCAGCATTTTGTCCAAGGTTATGGTTGTCTTTCTGGTATTGTTTTACATCTACCCCCCCCCCTTTTTTTAATTAATTTTGTATTTACATTGTGTCTTAGATCAAATTTATTCGTTCATTGTATGTTCACTAAGTCTTGTTCTTTTGATATATGTCTTGATTAAGTTAACCCATTTCAATTGATATTTTATAGTGTGTCTTGCCATGTTGTGATGTTACACTGTTGTTTCAGGTTAGGGTGAAGGTTGGCGCCTATTTAAACGTTTTTAAACCCGCTGCATTTGTTTGCACCTGTCCTAAGTCAGGAACCTGATGTTCAGTAGTTGTTGTTTGTTGATGTGGTTCATAAGTGTTTCCCGTTTCTCGTTTTTTATATAGATAAGACCGTTGGTTTTCCTGTTTGAATGGTTCCACACTAGTCATTTTTGGGGCCCTTTATAGCTTGCTGTTCGATGTGAGCCAAGGCTCCGTGCTGAAGGCCGTACTTTGACCTATAACGGTTTACTTTTATATATTGTGACATG